CTCCTGTGAATCATTTTTATTTCCCACATCTCTGTTCAGTGTTTTCTAATTAGATCAACCTCCAAATGTATTCTCCAAATAACTCTCTTCACTGTAATGGTTTGGCTCTTTCTCATTTGATCCGCAGCTTTATGTGTTGGCAAAATTGGGCCATTTCTGAACCACAGCTAACCCTTTATTGTTTGTCAAATTAGAACTAAGGGCTGCAATGAATATGACTATAACCACTACTCCCTCTGCTGTTTTACTCATTACATTACAGCCGTCAGGTCCAACCCTGCCCTGTGGTTTCGTGCTTCCCACAGATATGCCGAGACTTCTGTGAAATCAATGAAAACTTCAACCGCTGTTACCCAGCAGGGTCCTGGTCACATCCTCTGCTATCTGAACCACCTGCTAATGACTGCAACACAACAGAGTTTATTTTCGTTGTTTATTTTTCAGGGCACTTGCAGCGCAACCTCAGTACACACACTTATGTGGTAAATATCTGTGGCCAGACATTAAATTTAGAGGTGCCAGTAATACTAGCAAAAGAAAGGAGAACACTCAAGTACAAGTTCATTGTTCAAAGGTTATATGGGAGACAATTGTTCTCTCAAACTTTTCCAAAAGCTCTGAGTGAGAAGTAAGGACAGAGACAGAATTCTAATTTGCTGGCACTATAGCCTGGTCCTGCTGCAGTGTAACCTGGTCCTTCTGTAGTGTAATCTGGTCCTGCTGCAGTGTAGCCTCGTGCTGCTGCAGTGTAGCCTCGTGCTGCTGCAGTGTAGCCTCGTGCTGCTGCAGTGTAGCCTGGCCCTGCTATGGAATAGCCTGGTTCATTAACACACTATCTACAGCCACCCTGTGATTTGACCATCTTGCCATCCGTGTACATTGAGGTGACACATTAAAATCCATGTCATCGTCTGCTCCCTATCCTCCCCCAGCCCTGTCTGAACTTGTCCCTCCCTCTCTCTTATTCCCTTTCTCTCCTGGTAGCTGGCCTACATGGGCACATTTTCATCTTGAGTATAGAGTGAGGGAGGGTGGGTTGGACAGTCATCTTCTTGTTATAGAAGTTGGTTCAGGAAACCAACATAACAGCTGCAGAAAAACTGGGGCAGGATTCTGGAAAGAGCTGGTCTTATGCACAGCTCATTCTGGAAGAAGCAAATAAACATGAGTGAACCTGAGAATGCAGGACCATTTTGGGCTTTTGATTGACAAATAGTTCAAAACTCTCATTTTGGAGAGACTGGTTTTAGCAAAAGGAAAGGTGGGGCCCTTCATCTGGCTAGTTCTGCTCCTCACAGACAGAAAAATGCAGCTGATCAATACATTAAATATATTACAAGCAATATAGTTGCCAGATATTTTAAAAGGACAGAGCAGAGTATCTTTTTTGTCTATATATTGTAGAGCTTAATGGTATATACATATTTCCTTGGCTTTACCTTTCTCTGTCTGACCACACACAGACTCAATTACCTGTTTATTTTTTTCTCAATAAAATTTTCTATTTATTTTGTTTTCTGTTTAACAGAAAAATTAACTACAAATCAAAATTTTTGCTATTCTGTCTTATTTGCTTTAAATGAATACACTTTCTTTTTTAATTTAGCTGGTATACTGCATTTTTACTGAAATTTATTTTCAACTGACTTTTATGTCTGT